TACCTTTCAGTCTGCACACTATACTTTGGGTTTAGTTGCGTCCGACTTCTATACTGTCCCGTATTTGACGCCACTGAAGACGGAGTTGTATCCCAAGCGCCACCCAACGATCGTTTATTTCTGCACAATGTCGCAGTAACTGCGTAGTCCGTAGGCCAGCAGTGCACAGTAACCTCGTTTACAAGTACCTGCGTGATCCAAATGGAAAATCAGAATAGTTGTCCAGTTGCCGGTACACCTGGACATCATCAACTAAGTGCGACAAACTACGAATTTTGAATGCCAGCTGTGCAGCACAGTGCTATTTGTACTAGTTGTGTAGAAATACTTTACGTGCATCTTCTGCAACACTTATCAGGGCTTGTACAAAAGCGGATAACACAATATGTAAATTATTACGTGTGGGTCTGGGAACTTGCTTTAATATGCTGTACCTTGGATTCCATGCCACACTGCAGGGTCTGGATACAAAACAACAGACGAAACTCAATACCCTTCTATCTCAGCCACATTTTAATTCTCCTACCAGGTTGCTGGAAAGCAATGGCCCAACGCAATTGGTTATCTACATGTAATTCATTGAAATACCGGTTACTGTCCTCAGTGGCGCGATATTGGATGACAGCTGGTGCTTTCGTCTACACTATGCTGATGCGCGTCAGCATCCCAACTTATCCCGACTGCATATAGACGATCGGGAAAAGCTAACCATATCTATTTGCAAATCCTAAAAGGGCTGAACCAGTTGCCTTCGTGAAGCTCGGAATGTAGCATTGCTTCTCATGCAGTAGTTTGTGCCAAGAAAGGTCAGCTTTTTCTTTACATGTCGGCCGCGCTGCACATCGTTCACAAGCTACCATACTCAGTGGGCCATCTTTCGCATAAATTGTGAGCTTGCAAGCGCGTTAAAATCACTGCAGATTGTGTAACTGCGTTAAGTGAGGCACAGCCGGAAGGCTGTCATCAGGTTCGCTGGTCAGCAGAGACAGCAACGCGTTGACGGAGTACGGCTTGTTGGCTTCGTAATATACATCAACCACAAAAGCTTGAGCGATACAAGGGGCTTAGACAGGACACCGAATGGGCCAATTCCGCAGCTGCAATGAGATGGAGGGGAAAGCATTTAGGTGCGCTTGCAAGTAGATGATTTGGTTGTTAGTATGCGTCGTTTATGTAATACGTTGGGTACTCCGCGGAACAGACTGATATGGCCATAAGTGTGTGGATTCCTGACGACAGCCTCGGTCTCCTTAGGTTACCGGAGTTCGGTTGTAATAGGCACCAAGTCAGTTTTATTGCAAAGATTGTTAGCGTCCAAACTGGCTAGGTCATCTACGATATGTGGCATGAGTTGTCACGTTGTTTTGGGAACGCTAACCACCACAAGGAGGCCAGTCCTCATGGTCTTCCTTGGAATCATGTGGAGAGGGGACTCTCAGATGCTGTTAACCGGTCTGTTGACACAGAGTTGAAGCACATGCTTGAATTCGCTCTTGCACCAGGTAAGTTGTCGCAGGCCAATCATCCTGGTCGGGCACTCTTTTGCGCAGCGGCGTGACAATGTGTTGAGCGATCTCCATCACGACTGGCGGAAGCTATGCAGCTGGTCGTATCAGTCGCGGGTATACACACAGTATTTTTGCACCACCTAAATGTACATCAGCAATTCGGAAAACAGAGTTGATTACTGGACTCCTTTTGGAATAACACCTATAACCTCTAGTTTAGTATAACCGTCTAAAACTGTGGCGACAGGTATCAACAGGCAGCTCAAAATACCGGAGGAAATTGATACGGAGGATTGCGAAGGTTAAATAGGCAACCATGAAAACCCACTAAAGCCTCGAGGGTGTTTATTGTCCAGGTTCATCATGCGCTGACCAAATGCAGTTGTCGCAGAACCGTTGGGTGCACACCTGTTGTACGTAGGCCTTGAATGCACCTTGTCCGCATGCGCTAGGAAGACTGACCTTCGCTCCAGTGTTGATGCGGTAGATGACGAAAGAACGTCGATTTCTAATGTAAAACAGACGATATGTTTGAATATTGATACATAGGTTGGTAATCTTAGTATACGGGTCATTTGCTTTGCCTAAATTCGCCGAGCCGTGTCTAATGCAGTGTGCCCGACAACATCTAGCTCTTTCACTATATTTGCCGTGATACCAACATCTTCCTCTGACTGCCTTGGTATTGTGGGACCGAGAAGATGCAGAGAAAATGTTGCGTTTTCTTGGCGAACGAGTACTCAGGGCACAGACAAACCGCGATAAAGGCTATCTGAAACGTGGTAAGCGCCTGACCGTTGTATACGCTGCTTCAGAACCTACACTGCCTTTATCCAGTTGCAAAAGCGCGGAAGGATTTTGTCTTTATGGTTAGGTCGGCCTGACGACGGAGTTGATATGAGACACGTGTTTCAATTTCAATCTTTTCAATTTCAACTGCAATTTGGACGGGAGCGGTAAGGAAATTCCCATGTGTGTTCCTTCTTCAATGCATCGTTGAACCAGGTTGGAGTTCGCGGGAGCGATTTGAAACCGAGAAGAGCCAAATAAATACACACGAAGCACATAACGGTGAACCAGTTAACGCCCACGCGTCCTACTGTAGCAGTCCCCGCTGTACCGGCCACGTAAATAGAACAAAGGATAAGCGAAGGGAATCAACAAAACAAAATAATGATAAGTGTTGTACAGGAGAGAATGTGTTGATAAGGCAATAATAGTAATAGATGTGAGAAGCCAAGGAAAAGGATGTAGAAGTTAAGAACCAAACGGAAAGTTCTGAAACTGTAACCCAAAGGAGTCGAGTCAATGTTAAAACTCCTTCACCGTTAGTGCCAATACTACTTCGCTGGGTAGCGCGTTCCATGAGTCGATGACCCTGCATAATAAACGAAAGTCAGCTCTAACGTGGTCAGACCTGGACTTATGCAGGTTCAGAGGGTGACCACGAAGAGATAGTATCCGAGCCGGCTGATACAGTCCAGTTGAATCAGGCCCAATCTTGCTGATCAATATACGGTACGTAAGAATCAGGTCGCCCCGAATGCGTCTATAGTGCAGCGAAAACATCTGCAACCTGAGCAGCCTATCAGGATACGAGAGATGCCTATATCCTTGTACCACTTTAGTACGAACCCTCAGAACTCGTTCAAGTGCCACCTTGTTGCGTACCAAGCATGGACGACAGGCCTGCACGCAGTACTCCAAGTATGGCCTGACAAACGCTGAGAACAATGCAACAAACATCTCATTTCTTATAATGCCGAACGACCACAGCATTCGGAAACCCTTGCGGATAGCATTTGTCCAGTTCTCGCTGGATTTGAAGTCAGAAGCTAGCGAGATCCCCAAGTCGGTTTGCACAGTCACTTGACGAAATAAATTTCCGCCAAGTACGTAAGGAGTTGTGGAAGTGCTTGATCCTATGCGCAGGACCGAACACTTTGCAAGATCGACTGGCAGTTACCACAATTCTGATTGTCGAGAGCTGTCAGTAAATTCGTGGGTCCAACAGAATCGCTCACTGTATTCCAAAATTTTAAGTCATCCGCAAACATAAGGGATGGCACCTTAAGCATCTCAGGGAGGTCATTGCCATACAATGCAAACAGTAGAGGTCCGAGGACCGACCCCTGAGGAACACCACTCAGAACGGCTTGTCGGAAAGACAGCCCGAAACCCACTCGAACGCTCATCTGCATTCCTTCCAGGATGGCCGAAATCCACTTCAATACTAGGCCTGAGACGCCGTAGGATTCTAGTTTAAACAGAAGACGGCAATGCGGTACGGTGTCAAAGGCTTTAGAAAAGTCGATGAACAAAACGTCCACCGCCTGTCCTGGATCCACAGCCTCAGCCCAACACCCTCGAGCTTCCAACAGGAGTAACCACTGCGGAACCCATGTTGAGACATGTTGAGCAACTTGTACTTAGCCAAGGGTCTCTCCAAAGAATCTCTTACAAGCTTCTCTAATACTTTCACTAGTACGATGGTTAGGCTAACCGGTCTATAATTTGCAGGTATGTACTTATCACCCTTTTTGAAAATACGGCACACGATAACATCTCTCCAGTCAGCATGTAGGGAACAGCTACGAAGAGACTTCACAAAAATACATTTAATCGGTTTACACAGCGATCAAGCCAGCTCGTACAAAAGTTTGGGATGAAGGGCATCTATCCCGGCAGCTTTAGTGGGATTCAGGTCACGCAGGAGCTTGAGTACCTGAGCTTCTGAGATGGAAAGGCTCATTAGAAAGGAATCTACTAGTATCTTTGCCTGCAATTTTATATCAGACAACGGAGGTTCATGAACAAACGACCTAGCATACTGTTCTGCAAGTAAGCACGCCTTGGCCTGCTCGGTTGATACTTCAGTGT